ATTCGGGAAGAGCTTTCTGCTTCCCATTTTAACTCTTTGTGCTAGAGTGTGGGTGTGAACATAACCAAAGATTTATTTTTCCCAGAACAATTTTCTAATGTTTCAGCTTTTTTGTTCAGCTTAATAGTATAGGCCGGGCGTGGTGGCTCACGCTTGTAATCCTAGCACTCTGGGAGGCCGAGGCGGGCGGATTGCTCAAGGTCAGGAGTTCGAAACCAGCCTGAGCGAGACCCCCGTCTCTACTATAAAAAAATAGAAAGAAATTAATTGGCCAACTAATATATATATATATAAAAAATTAGCCGGGCATGGTGGCTCGTGCCTGTAGTCCCAGCTACTCTTGGAGGCAGAGGCAGGAGGATCGCTTGAGCCCAGGAGATTGAGGTTGCTGTGAGCTAGGCTGACGCCACGGCACTCACTCTAGCCTAGGCAAGAAAGCGAGACTCTGCCTCAAAAAAAAAAAAAAATAGTATAGTCTCATGAATTCTCACCCTCTGTTTTCTTCTGCCTTGCTCAGTTCCATTTCCAGGAGATGGAAAACAGTGAAAATTCCTCAAAATTGTATTGTTTTCAACTTTTGGTACCTTGACTACTGTATGAATACATATGAATTAATAATTTGAAAACATTAATCTCTAGACCGTATATTGTCAGCTTTTCACATAGTGAGGGATATGGTTTATGCATAGAAGAATCAAATGGGTTTCTTATATTATGGTTCATACAAATAGAATGTAAAGGTAGTAGCTAACACTATGCCAAACTGTTTAAAATGTTTTTACTCACAATATTTTTTTTTTTTTTTTGAGACAGAGTCTCACTCTGTTGCCATAGCTAGAGTGCCATGAAGTCAGCCTAGCTCAGAGCAACCTCAGGGCTCAAGTGATCCTCCTGTCTCAGCCTCCCACCATGCCCAGCAAATTTTTTCTGTTTTTAGTAGAGAGGAGGTCTGGCTCTTGCTCGGGCTGGTCTGGAACTCCTGACCTCAAATGATCCTCCTGCCTTGGCCTCCTAGAGGCTAGGATTACAGGTGTGAGCCACCACACCTGGCCCCACTTACAATATCTCTTTTACATATGTAAATGAATTTAATAAATAGAGAATACTGTAACACTCCTTAAAGAAAAAGGTTTATATATAGTAAGTGTATTACAAGCCCAGTGCATTAGGAGGCCCAGAATCAGAAAAAATCAGGATGGTAGCCGAGCATGGTGGCTCAAGCCTGCAGTCCCAGCTACTGAGCCCAGCAGTTCAAGGCTACAGTGAGCCATGAACAGGCCACTACCCACCAACCTGGGAAACAAGGAGACCCTGCCTCTAAAAAGAAAAAATAAGAAAAAAAATCAGGTGTGTAATAGGGAAAAAGGCACAATCATGGTGTTTACAACTAATTGATCACAACCAGTTATAGATTCCTTTGTTCTTTCTCCACTCCCACTGCTTTACTTGACCAGCTTCAAAAAAAAAATTTTTTTTAAAGGCACGGTCATTTCCGACTCTATAAATACTAAGGTATGAGTTCCTAAATATTCTCAAAGAAAAAAAAAAGGCTAATAGTAAGGTATGAGTTCCTAAATATTCTATAAATACTAAGGTATGAGTTCCTAAATATTCTCAAAGAAAAAAAAAGAGGCTAATAGCTTAGCAGCTTTTAAAGTGATCTCAATCACCTTTTGCTCTGTCTGCCCAAAATTAGAATTTAAATATCAAAATTAAGTAGTTTAAATTTGTAGAATTAAATAGTACCATTATAGGCTGAGTATGGTGGCTTCATGTCTGTAATCCCAGCATTTTGGGAGGCTGAAGTGGGAAGATTGCTTGAGGCCAGGCGTTCGAGACCAGCTTGGGCAACATAGCAAGACCCCTGTCCTCTCTATAAAAAATAGAAAAATTGACCAAGAATGATGGCACATGCCTGTAGTCCTAGCTACTCAAATAGCTGAGGTGGGAGCATTGCTTAAGCCCAGGAGTTTGAGGCTACAGTGAGCTCTCATGATGCCAGTGCACTGCAGCCTAGGCAACACAGTGAGATCCTGTCTCTAAAACAGTAAAGTAAATAACAAACCATTATTTGTTAAATCACATTACACACGTTAAATCACATTATCTTAAACAAGTTACTTAGAAAAAGAGTATTTTCATTATTTTAGAATAAACTTCTAAAACCTTCATGACTGAAGTTTATAAATACAAACATTTCCCCATAAACTACTACTCATTTGGCAGAGTTAACATCCTCACCAAACAATGTTTCCACCACACCATTGTGTTGCATGATCTTGGAAGAGTTTAAATCACCTTAATTCATACAGTTAGCTGATTATATAGATGGCATTGTCATACTGAGATCAATGAATTTCTCACATTCTAATTTTGAACTCATGAGACTGACAAGCAAAAAGAGGCATTAAATAGCATGCCTGGGTTAGTAGGTTATTTTAAATTCCAGACACAGCTGATGGGTCTAAATCCGTTCCCTTCTTTTCTAACTACATTCCTTTATTGACTTAACTCTATATACACATGGTCTCAAATGCTTGCCTGTTAGGTCCAGAATATCAATAATACTTTACTCAAGAACTGAAATTTTAATTTAATTTTATTTGTTGTTGTTGTTTTTGTTTTGTTCTTTTGTTTTTGTTTTGTTTTTTTTGAGACAGAGTCTCACTTTGTTTTTTTTTTTTTTCATTTTTTTTTTTTTTTCAGGAACTGTGTAGAATCACTTTGTTGCCCAGACTAGAGTGAGTGTCCTGGCATCAGCAACCTCAAACTCCTGGGCTCAAGCAATCCTGTTGCCTCAGCCTCCGGAGTAGCTGGGACTACAGGCATGCGTCACCATGCCTGGCTAATTTTTTCTACATATATTAGTTGGCCAATTAACTTCTATTTATAGTAGAGATGGGGTCCTCACTCTTGCTCAGGCTGGTTTCAAACTCCTGACCTCGAGCAATCTGCCCTCCTCAGCCTCCCAGAGTGCTAGGATTATTTTGAACTTTTTTTTTTTTTAAGACTAGTCAAGTGCAGTAGTAAGGAGGGGGGATGAACTTATTTTAATACAGAGGTTTTGTATGTTTAGTACAGAAAGAAAATGCATGCAAGCAAAAACAAAATGAACCTGACCACCTAGAAAAAATGTTTACTTCACAATTTTTTTCTAGGCATATGAACACATATAACAAATTGGGTACTGGGATTGATTTTTCACTTAACACTATAGTGTGAACATCTTTCCAGTTCAATAAATATGTACATCATCATTCTTCAAGGCTACATAGTAAGGCTGAAACATGATGCTTAAATAACCTCCTGTTAGGAATACAAAAAACCTACTCAGTTCTCAACTACGGAAACATTACAGATTTAAACTCTGGATTTTCACAAGGTGGATGAGCTGACCCCTAGGGATTATAGTGTGTTTTTTTGGTTATTTTTTTCCCTACAAACATCCCACTTCCTGGCTCCTCAGACTTTCTTGTCACAAAGCCTGTGTGCAAGTAAGCTATTGGCCGGGCTCCTGGGCCAAGGAATGCTGCCGCTGCTGTTAATAGCTGTGCGAACAGTCCTTCTATGGGCAACGGGCTGCCCGCCTGGGTACCTGAATGTTTTCTTACTTGGGCCTGCGCTTCCCTTGCTGACCCTGAAATTTAGACCAGATGCATTCTCAGGGCTAGACGACGTTGGATTCTCAAGTAAGAAGAGAAAGCCTACAGTTCTCATTTCGGCGAGGGAATAAAAACAAAATGTCTTCTCCAAAGGCTGTGCGGATCTAGCTAGAACCGAGGAAGTGACAGCCAAGTCCCGGGGTGCCCGGCCTGCCCTGGGACCCACGTGGGCGGGGGCCTTCATAAGGAATACCTTTATAAAGGCCTCACCCCCCCACACCCCCCCACCCCAGGCTGCTGCGGGTGGGCCTGGTCCTCTGCAAAACAGGACTGAAGGTGACATTGGGGTCTTCCGAAAAACTGAGCAAAGCGTACCTTAAACTAAAGAAAAAATGGCTTCCAAGTGAGGGGTCTCTTTTTTTTTTTCCTGCAGTTACGTTGAAAGTGGTACTGTTATCTGTTGGAACCAAATTGAGGGAAATTCCTTCCTTCTTCCAATATGGCACAAGGGACTGTCAGTTTGCTGAATGGCCTTATCTCCCTAGTGTTTTGGGCAGTTCTCCGTCTGACCTTGAGCTGACACTTTCCGCACCCTAGTACCCCTCTCATGGGACAGGAAAACCCGCTCCAGGAAGGCCCGGCGCCCCCCAGCTGGCCTGCACCCTTGGGCGTGCAGCTCTGGGGCCTGAAGGGGCGTCTCCGACTCGGAAACGAAAACTCTGCCTCCCAAGCAGACAAAAGTTAATGACTGTGTTGCGGAGTTTGGAACTCCTGCAGGACCCGCGGAGCCGATCCTGGAATCGGGCCCGGTGTCACTTATGAATGCGCCAGGGAAAAAACCGTCACCGAAAAACCTTACGCTCGTTCTTGCTTTGGTCTTTGAATTGTAAAGCTCTTACCGCCTGAATCCGTCCCGTGATGGGGTTATCTAGCAACCCTAGAAAGGAGTGGAACTCAAAAACAAAGCCCTCCTACCAAGCTGCCCTGGGGCTCAGGGGCTCCTGCAGTGGGAAGCCAGGCGCGAAAGGGCTGGCTTCGGTTTAGGGCGCGCCTCGCCCGGGTTTTGTTCGGCAGCCAGCCCCGGGGGGGTCGCGGGCAGGCCCTGGAGGCCCCCGGGCCCGCGCGCGGCGGCGCCTGCCTCGGAACTGGCACTTGTCACCCGGCGTCCGCGCTCAGGCGTCAGCGGGAGGCGGCAGGAGGCCCGGGGAGGGCGGAGGGAGGGAGCGAGGCGGGGGCGGCGGTGACTCAGCCGGGAGAGCCCGGGGCGGGCGGCCCACGCGGGGGAGGCCGGCCCGCGCGCTGCGACCCGCGGCCAGAGGGCGGCGGCGCCGGGCGCGGAGGGGTTAAGTGGGCGGCGCCCCGCCCCGCCCGGGCCCGCCCCCCGGAGGCCGCATTTATAGCGACGATGCCGGGCGCGCCGCGTCTCTCCGCAGGCCACGGCCGCGGCGTCCCGGAGTCCCGCAGCCCAGGCGCCATGGAGCGGCCGGCGCCCCTGGCCGTCCTGCCTTTCTCGGACCCTGCGCACGCCCTGAGCCTGTTGCGTGGCCTGAGCCAGCTCCGCGCCGAGCGCAAGTTCCTGGACGTGACCCTGGAGGCGGCGGGCGGGCGCGACTTCCCCGCGCACCGCGCCGTGCTGGCGGCCGCCAGCCCCTACTTCCGCGCCATGTTCGCGGGCCAGCTGCGCGAGAGCCGCGCCGAGCGCGTGCGCCTGCACGGAGTGCCGCCCGACATGCTGCAGCTGCTGCTCGACTTCAGCTACACGGGCCGCGTGGCGGTGAGCGGCGACAACGCCGAGCCGCTGCTGCGCGCCGCCGACCTGCTGCAGTTCCCGGCCGTGAAGGAGGCGTGCGGCGCCTTCCTGCAGCAGCAGCTCGACCTGGCCAACTGCCTGGACATGCAGGACTTCGCCGAGGCCTTCAGCTGCGCGGGGCTGGCGAGCGCGGCGCAGCGCTTCATACTGCGCCACGTGGGCGAGCTGGGCGCCGAGCAGCTGGAGCGGCTGCCGCTGGCGCGCCTGCTGCGCTACCTGCGCGACGACGGGCTGTGCGTGCCCAAGGAGGAGGCCGCCTACCAGCTGGCGCTGCGCTGGGTCCGGGCCGACCCGCCGCGCCGCGCCGCGCACTGGCCGCAGCTGCTCGAGGCCGTGCGCCTGCCCTTCGTGCGCCGCTTCTACCTGCTGGCGCACGTCGAGGCCGAGCCGCTGGTGGCGCGCTGCCCGCCCTGCCTGCGCCTGCTGCGCGAGGCGCGCGACTTCCAGGCGGCGCGCTACGACCGCCACGACCGCGGGCCCTGTCCCCGCATGCGCCCGCGCCCCTCCACGGGCCTCGCCGAGATCCTCGTGCTCGTGGGCGGCTGCGACCAGGACTGCGACGAGCTGGTCACCGTCGACTGCTACAACCCGCAGACGGGCCAGTGGCGCTACCTGGCCGAGTTCCCTGACCACCTAGGCGGGGGCTACAGCATCGTGGCGCTGGGCAATGACATCTACGTGACAGGTGAGTGGGCTGGGGGCCGGCCAGGGGGACCCCCTGCCAGGGCTCTCAGGGGTTGGCCTGCTCCGCCCCTGGGGGAGCCCACCTGCCTGCGAGAGAAACAGGACCTGGAATCCAAGGGCCGCTCCTGAGTCCAGGCTGGGAAATGGGTAACTATGCTTCCTGGGATGATACTTTCAACCTTGAAGAAAGACCCCTTGTGTGAGCGGGGACAGGTAGCTGCTTGTGGGTCTCTGCCCCGTGAGTCCGGGCCTGCCAGGCTGAGCCAACTCCTTGCCCCCAGGTGCCTCCCCCCATATGGTTGAAAGGCACTGGGACATTCAGCCCGCACAATGGGCGCTTTCTTTTTCTCCTTAAGGAATCCAGGACTGGGTGGGAGGCTGACGCCCGGTGAGGCATCCCTTCGCCATAGGGAATTTCTCCCTCCCTGCTGGGCCCCGTGGCTCCTGACTCACTCTTTGTCACAGCTTACAAGGTTCCCTTGGACTTGCACCTAGGCTCTGTGCTGTGGTCACATGGCCTTTAAGCAGAGCTAGCCAGCAACTGTAAACATGGTCACATGTTCAGAGATTTTCTTCCAGTTACTTGGCCCAAACCCCAAAACACTGCCAAGTCATGGTGGGCGGGTCTCAGCCTGCCTGATTCTCCGGCTTCTCCTGCATTTTTTATTAAAGATGAAACCCCGTTCAAACATGAGGCTACCTCCTTCCCAGGGGCAAGGAGGGGCGGTCTGTGTGACTGCTATATAAGGAAAGAACCGGCCAGGCAGGCTTTGGAGGCTCTGTTATCAGGCAAGGAGCTAGGGATGGGTTATCACAGCCACTGTGCCCCACTGGGCACATTTGGGACAAAGCCCACTCTGCCACATGCTCCAGCGTTCCAGTGGGGCTCTGATCTGACAAGGGGGACATGTCCCAGCCCAGGGAAATCCTTGGCCCTCTGGCCACAGCTTCCTTGGCCTGGTCCGAGTCTGGTACCTCGAGGTTGCCCCCTTGTTGGTTGTAGACTGTCATCCTCGTTCCCCCTGCCACACCCTAAGTCTGGCCAGTGACTTTGAGCAACGAACTCCTTCCCAGAACTGGCCAGACTCGCCCCACTTCCTGCACACCCTTCCATAAATGTCATAGCTGAGCAGTTAATCCTTTGGGTTTAGGCAGGTGGCTGGGTCATTCCATCCAGCTGCCCGTAGGGAATTTCATGGGGGCGAGAAAGCCAGCTTCAGCTGCCTTCCACACAGCTCTGTTTTGGAAGGGAGGCTGGCAGAGTTACTTTATAAGAGCTTTGTTATAGAATGTCACGTCTGCTCTGTCCTGTGGCGCCAGCCTCGGAGACCAAGGGGCTCAGCCCTAGAATTCTTGGGGTCCCTCACGCCATGGGGATTCTGCTATCCTTAATAGCTATGGTATGATTTATGGTTACAGCCAGGTTTTTTTGTTTTTTTTTTTTGCTTTTTATTGAAATGAAAATACAAGTATATATATCACACTCGTACAGCTTGATGAAGTTTTCCAAGCAAAACATACCTGGTAACCTGGACCAGAGTCGAGAGCTAGAAGCCCAGAAGTGCCCTGTAGCATTGCGTTAGGTCTCTTGCTTACGGAAGTGGATTCCCCTCATCTCTTCCTGGCATGACCTTGGTTAGAGGGTGCCCAGGAAGCCTAGGATTTGGTGACATGAGTGTGCACCCCACCCACCTGTCTGTGGCTCTCCAGGAGAGCTGCCCCTGAGGCCCAGTGCTCTGGTCCACTTGAAGTGTCTGTCTCTGGGAGGGTCCAGATGGAGGCTGCACCCGGGGCATTTGCTAGGCCAGCAGAGGTGGCCACAGTCACCTTGCCGGCCGTGGTCAGCGTGTGCATTGCCTCAGCCACAGCATGGAGCTTTTGGCCTGGGCTTTGGGAGAGAGGATGTGAGTTTAGGGAGAGGCCCTCGCAGGAGCTCAGGAAGGCACGGCAGGTGACTCACCTGAGTGGGCTGACCGGCTGCCCGTTGTGCATCCCGGCAGGCGGATCCGATGGCTCCCGGCTCTACGACTGTGTGTGGAGGTACAACTCGAGTGTGAACGAGTGGACGGAGGTGGCGCCCATGCTGAAGGCCCGCGAGTACCACAGCTCCTCTGTGCTGGACGGACTGCTGTACGTGGTGGCCGCCGACAGCACGGAGCGCTATGACCACACCACCGACTCCTGGGAGGCCCTGCAGCCCATGGCCTACCCCATGGACAACTGCTCCACCACCGCCTGCCGTGGCCGGCTCTATGCCATTGGCTCCCTGGCCGGCAAGGAGACCATGGTGATGCAGTGCTACGACCCCAACACCGACCTGTGGTCACTGGTGGACTGTGGCCAGCTCCCGCCTTGGTCCTTCGCCCCCAAGACCGTGACTCTGAATGGACTCATGTACTTCGTCAGGTGAGTCCCCGGTGCCTGGTCTGCCGTGTGTTTGGCGTTTCTCACCAGCCCCTGTACTAAGGATGTCAGCGCTGTTCTCCCCACTTCACAGATGAGGGAACTGAGGCCGAGCTGGGATCCAGGGCTGGGACTTTCTGACCCCTGGGTGCTTGTTCCACCCCTTTTCTCAGAGCAGTTCCAGGTTTTCTGAATTGAACCATCCCAAGAGTGATGGAGTTAGGTTCTTTCAGGAAAAGGGCTTAGCTGTATCCTGTCAGCACAGAGCAGAGACAGGCAGACAGTGGGTCACTGCATCTGTTGGTCTTGTGGCCTGTCACAGCCGGATGTCCCTCCTGACTGGGCAATGAGCAGCCAGGAGGGGCCTGCTGCATACTGTCGTGCGCCTGTTCACGACTGCTGCTCCCTCCCTTGCCTAGAACCTTCCTTGAAGCTACAGGACTGGGAAGGAAGGGGAAGGAGTGGATGATTGACGGTCCCCTCTGTACCCTTCTGGACTAGACTTTTTTTTCCCCCCAGGGTACAAGCGCTTTGGTTACATAAATTGCCTTTGCACCCGGACTGGTCTGGGGCTTTGCCCTGGAGCCTTGGAGGATGTGTGCTCTGTCTGCCCCACCCCCAGACAAGAGGCTTCCCCCCAAGTTGCTTGTCACCCAAGTGGCTGTTTGGGGGGGTGCATATAGCATCATATGCCAGGAATCAACTGCTCTGAGAAAGCCCTGGAATCTCAGCCAGCTCTGGTCCCGTTAGAAGACATCCTGACCTGACCCTTCACCCAGCTCTTCCTTAAGTCGTGGAGGTGTCTTCAAAGAGGGGGTGGAGATGGCTATAAATAGAACCTATCAGAGTGCCAGAACCTTGGCTGCAGCCACAGCAGGCTGTAGTTCCAGGCCAAGTGCCTTTGAGAACGCCCCCCATCCCAGCAGCCTGTGTCCAAGGGCAGTCACCAGCTTGGACGCATTTGGGGGCCCCCTTGTCCCTGTTAGCCTTCACACATGGGTGGAAGGAGGGAGTGCTCTGGAAATGTTTGTCCCACCAGTGTGACCTGAGGGGAAGGAGAATGTCCTGGGAGCGGGGTCAGAGCCCGGGCGCTGCCCTGAGTGTGCACTTCAGCTCTCAGGAGCCACACGGCCCCCTGCCTGGAATGCCACCTATTTTGAGTGGCTCCCTGATGAGCTGTCCTCTGGAGGACAGTGGAGGGACTGCTGTCCAGGGCCTCCTTCCCTGCAGTTCCACACAGGCGGCCCCCTGGCCGGGGCGCAAAGCCTGCAGGGGAGGAATAAGGCGCAGAGCCTGCAGGGGAGGAATGGGGCCCAGAGCCTGCAGGGGAGGAATGGGGCCCAGAGCCTGCAGGGGAGGAATGGGGCGCAGGGGAGGAGTGGGGCGGGCTGCCCACCCTAGCTGCTCTGCCTGCAGCATGTGTGTCTGCTGGGAACTCGGGGAGGGGCAGCCCCTCCAGTAGTTAATGATCTGGCCACAAACTGCCGTAAAACAGGTTTTACACTTTGAAATAATTGGGGAGGGGGGATGATCAAGACGAGTAACATTTCACAACATGAGGTTATGTGAGATTCAGGGTTCTGTGCCCATGAATGGAGTTTTGCTGGAATGTGCCAGCCTCCTGGTGGCTGACCTTGCGCTGCGGTACTCGTCTGGCCCATGGAGCCTGAAATACTCACCGTCTGGCCCTTTTGCTGCCCCCTGACCTGTGATCATCATTGCATGTTACTTTTTTTCTTCTAGTATCTTTGCTTTTCAAGGCTGTCTTTGAGCCTTTCCCTGTGGGGGTGTGGAGGGTGGCGAACGAGGTTGAAGGATCTTTTTTTTGAGACAGAGTCTCACTTTGTTGTCCAGGCTAGAGTGAGTGCCGTGGCATCAGTGTAACTCACAGCAACCTCAAACTCCTGGGCTCAAGCAATCCTCCTGCCTCAGCCTCCAGAGTAGCTGGGACTACAGGCATGCGCCACCATGCCCGGCTAATTTTTTCTACATATATTAGTTGGCCAATTAATTTATATAGTAGAGACGGGGTCTCGCTCTTGCTCAGGCTGGTTTCGAACTCCTGACCTCGAGTAATCCGCCCGCCTTGGCCTCCCAGAGTGCTAGGATTACAGGCGTGAGCCACCACATCCGGTCAAGGTTGAAGGATCTTGATCCCAAAGTGAAGGGCGTCGTTGGGTCTTCGTTCCTGTAGCTGGACTCAGCCTGCCAGGCTCCAGGGACACTGCAGTGAATGGGACAATTGGGGGCTGACAGTGGGGGACAATTGGGGCTGACAATTGGGGGACAGTGGCAAGAAGTGATCTGGGGCACATGCCCCAAAAAGGTGGCTCAGGTCAAAATCGGGAGGAGGATCAGGAGGCTGGGGGTAGTGTGGTGCTTGGAAACCAGAGGTGGGACAGAACATAGTCCTGGCGAGATCCGAAGGGAGCCACTGTGGCCACAGTGGGGCAGGTGCTAGGGGGTGGCAGGCGCTGACAGGCTTCAGGCACCCGGGAGCGTGACCCCTGGGTCTGGGGAGTGAGGCTGGGTTCTGGCCTTGGAGCCTGGAACAGGCCCCTGAGAGTAAGGGAGCTGCCACAGGATCGGCAAACCCAGGTCAAGGGAGGCGGGCCTTGAGGGTGTCACCTCCAGCCGCACACCCCAGGGGACTTCCTCTGACCAGCTGTCCTCCCCTCCGCAGGGATGACTCCGCCGAGGTGGACGTGTATAACCCGGTGAAGAACGAGTGGGACAAGATCCCGTCTATGAATCAGGTAAATTTGCAGACACTCGAGCGTCGGAAGCACAGGCTGGCCCTGTTTTTGCAACCCAAGTGTCATTGTGAGTGTTTGGGACCCACAGCTGTGGCGGGTGAGGTCCGTGGGGAGCTCTCTCCAGTGTCACCCCAGTCGGTAGAAGGCTGGGGTTACCCTCCTTTTGCACTTGAGGCTCGCTGAGGCACACAGACGCTAAGCAGGCTCCAGGATCACACAGTTTAGGGAGCTGTATTTATTGAGCACCTATTATGAGCCAGGCAGCAGCAGGAGGGGCAGGAGCCGGCCAGTCACCTGGAACGTGTCCCACAGCGTGACAGCAAGTACAAAGGCCCTGGGGCAGGGGCTCTGGTGTGTTCTTTGGGACGGCCAGTGTGGCGGCAACAGGGGATGAGATCAGGCAGGAGTCTTTGGGGACTGACCTTGGGATTACATTTATTGAGCACCCATGGTATGCTTTGAACAGGGTCTCCCCCTCTCTGCTTGTTGAGAAGAGAGGCGCTGGGCCTGGCAGTGTGACGGCGTGGAGAGAGTCAGTGGCATTTGGCCACACGGGCAATCTTGTTAGCCCCACATACACATCCGCACCTGCCTTGTTTGCTGTCTTTTAACATTCCCAACCCTACTCTCATGATATCTGTGACACGGCGTACAGCACAGCTGAGCATCCTTACGTTTAGGAGATAAAACTTTGTATTTCCCCACCGCACTCATTATAGCAAATCTGGAAAAGATGGAGTCACCGGCCTGTGGTTGGGAGCCCAGGCTTTGGGTCGAGTCCCAGCTCCGCCACTGTCAGCCACGGGAGCCTTAGTGTTCCCTAGGTGGAGAGGACAGCAGTGCCCACCCCAGAGGGCCGTTGCAGAGGTTCCCAGGGTAACGTAAGGAAGTGCTGGGCACGGCCTGCATGTGGAGGGACCCAGGGGTGCAGTGGCTGCCTGACCCCCATAGGATAGGGTCACCTGCCAGACCCAGACCTGGCAAGCGACTCCTGGGGAAGTCCCCTGCTCTCTCAGTTGAGGTGTCGGGAGGGCATTGGCGTGTCTGCTGTCTCCAGGGAGTGTCGGGGCTGCCCTCTGGGGCACTGACTAGGCATGCCTGGTCTCCCATGGCCCCCGGGCTGGGCTGCTGACCTCTCCTCACCCGTCCCCTTGGCCCACAGGTGCACGTGGGGGGCAGCCTGGCCGTCCTGGGAGGGAAGCTATACGTCTCTGGGGGATACGACAATACATTTGAACTCTCGGACGTGGTGGAGGCGTATGACCCAGAGACTCGGGCGTGGAGTGTGGTGGGGCGGCTCCCAGAGCCCACCTTCTGGCATGGCAGCGTCAGCATCTTCCGCCAGTTCATGCCCCAGACCTTCTCAGGCGGGCGCGGCTTCGAGCTGGACAGTGGCAATGACATAGACGCAGGCCGACACCGGCCACCGCAGAACCCAGAGGAGCTGCACTAGCCCCGGCCTGGCCCAGTGAGGGCCTCGGTGCAGGTAACCATCACCTCCACAGGGACAGTGACCCCTCCCTCGTGCCGAGCACAGGCTCTGGGGTAGCTGAAGGAGCCTTAGGATCCATCGCCTGGATGGTTCCTGTGCTTTTGGAACCTGAGTCACAGCTGCTGGAGCCAGAACAGGTTGTGAATGCCCCCCTCTGCTGAGGAGCCACCTTGCTGCCAGAGGTCACCCCCAGCCTGCAGCCCCCCAGCTGACTCATGCACCACACACCCCTCCTGCTGCTGCCGCCTGCGCCTACTTGCTCCCACATTGGGAGAGGAAGACAACGTGGGGGTGACAAGTGAAGGGGACGGGGCCTTCCATGAGGCGCTGAGAACGGCCTTCCATGAGGCGCTGAGAACGGCCTGGAGCATCGCTGGTCGGCAGACGACCCAAGTCCAATGCCAGGCATCCCGGTGAGCCAGCTCCCTACACAGGGTGGGGGTCTTTCTGCCTAGCTCCTGGCTTCTGCCAGGGGCTTCCCCCGAGACAGCTCACATGGTGGGCCTCCCAAAGGTCGAACACAGGCAGGGGAACCTAGCAGGAATTTGAGCTTCAAGGGGTGCAGAAGGTGCTGCCAGAGGACATGCCATGGCAGATGCTGCGTCTGCCCCGCTAGTGGGTCCTTACCTGGCTGGAGACTTTGCTGGGCCTGCATCCCAGGCCGATGAAGGAGAGGGTGGAAACCTGTGCTGCAGAGCCATAGCTCCTCCCTGGGAGGCCCCCTGGGGTCATCATTGATGCTCAGCCCAGCAAACAGCTGCAGGCGCCCAGCTGGAAAGTAGAGTCCTGTTGTTTCCAAAGGAGCCCTGGGCTGGTCCTGGGTGGTTGGTTCCAAGGTTTGAAATGCTTGCAGTTTGACCATTAAAAGAAGAAAAAGGGAGCTAGAAACAGGGTCAGCTTTGTTTGATTTCCAAGTCCACAAAGTGCCATTGCCAAAACCACTATAGGACGTACTCTCGGGGAAGTCCCACAGTGTGGTTTTTGGTGGAAGCAGGAGGTTTCCATGGATTGGGTGGTTTGGGCACCCACAGTATACTGCATGAATTTGTCCTTCCTTCCCTTTCTAGAGAAGAGGATGCTTTAGGCTGCATTTCCTCATTAGAGAAAATGAAAACAGACATTTATTAAGTTGCCTTTTATTAGTAAACTAACTTGGGGAGATGTGCTCTCACCAGGAAAAACAGTTTTAGCACCATCACTTAACAAGTTGCACTTAAAACCCTTTTACCAGTCAGATGGCATGGGTGGTTGCCTTAATGTCTCCCAGGACACCGGGCAGGGCTGCAGGTGGCCCTGCCTTGCCTCTGCGTGCTCCTGAAAAGCCCCAGTACACTGCAGCGCACTGTGAATCTCGTCCTGTCCCAAAGCCTCCAGCTGCTGTGGTCACAGCCCATAGCAGCCCTTCCTCTGTTGTTAGGTCATCACACATTGGTCATGACCAAGCACCTGCTGTGCACCTGGCACTGGCAGAGAGGGCAGTGGGACAGCACTGTCCCAGCCTGCTCAGGCCCAGCTGTGGTTTCTGCAGGTCACGTGGAAACTTGCAGCAGGCTACTTGGGGCCAGGGGCCCCTCTGGCCTCTGCTTGCTTTATGCCTGGTGCCTTTTCCTGGGTGCCAGTGAGCAGGGCCCAGCTTGCCTGCTCTGTCCTCTGCCCCTTTGGGGCCTCCTAGTCCAAGCGCAGTCCCCTGCCAGTCCTAGAATCCCCTCCCACAGCCTCACTTAGCTTCCTAGGGGGCTGCTGAGCCCTAGGAGAGGTGCTTCTTGCTCTCTGGGGTGGCTTATCTCCTGTTAGCAGCAGAGGGTGGCAGGGTACTGCATTGGGTGCCAGAGAAAACATGCCCTGTCCAATCTGTGATGACCACCGTCACAGTGTCCCAGGGGAGGCTAGGCTGGGAGGCCTTGATCCTGTGGAAGAGCTCCAGGTTCCTGTTGCTTTTGCTGCTCTGCCATGGCCTGCAGTGCTCAGTGAGGGCTTTGGTGTGGGCCAGTGCAGGAGAGATGGGCTTGGCTCTGTGCCCCCATCCTGCGTCTGCTCCCCACACTGCCCCGGTCTCCAGCAGGGCCCCATCTCTTCAGGCTGAAGAGATGAAGGATGTAGAAGAGCAGGCACAAGCCCCTAGCCCAGTGGGTCCCTCCAGCTGGGGACCCAGGATCAGGCCCTCTCTGCCCTCGCTCCCCTTTGCATGGGTTCTGAGCTGTAATGTCCCTACCACCTGTGGGTGTCCTTACACTGACTTCAGGACAGATGCTGGGCCGCCTGGGGACGGGACTGTCCCTGTGTTACACGTACAGAACTTTCATCTATCTACAAAGTAAATTATGAAGATTTCACTATTTAATACTGACCTACTGTAATGTATTCTGTATTTATATGACTTCAGAGACTCCTGTGATAAAGGACACCCTCCCCGCACTGTCTAGCATCTGGTCCCGCCCCAGAGGGGAGGGCAGGTGTGTGTATTTATTTTTGTCTACTTTGTGGGCTTATCTGTCTGGAATCCTGCTTAATGACTTAGGATGCCTTTAATACTTTTTCAAATAAAGATATTTCCTATACATTTGGTGTCACTGACTTTGTCCTCCTGCTGCTGTGTTCTCTGGGAATTCTTTGAGCTGAGGGCAGATGTCGGGGGAGTGGGGAGCAGCATGGAGAGTCCCTGTACTTTAGCAGAAGGGGGACAGAGTTTGGTGAGAACACTTGCATGCTGAAGGTCTGAGGAGTCTGCCATTTACAAAAGGCCTCCAGGCCCCTTCCTTTCCCATGGAGAGGCCTGGAAAGCACGGAGGTACGGGATGACATCCCCTCACCTGCTGTTCCTGGCTTCAGCCCTGTTGGCACTCCTCCCAGTGCCCAGCTCCTACAGTCCTTCCTCCCAAGGATATAGTGCAGAAGCTCCCACCTGTGGCGGGACATGACTTGGACCTGGGAGGTAGAGCCCTTCAGTGAAGGAAGACCCCAAGCCAGGCTGCGACTCCACACTAGCCATCAAGCTTGGGACGGCGTTCTCATCTGCAAGCCTGTCTGAACCTGAAGTGAGGCCAGCCTCTGGGCTGGGAAGGGGAGCAACATTTTGAGGCTAGAGTTTGACTTTTAAACTATATTTTTTTATCTTCTTACGACTTTATAAATGAAGAGATGGTGTTTGCTTTTGTAATACTTTTCCCAAAACAGATCCGGAAGCAGCTCATAACCTGTGTAGGGAGGTAGTCAGAAACCTGTGGTGTCAGTTCCTACACTTTAGTCTTGTCTTTACCTCTTAGCTCCCAATGGTCAAGGAATAAAAGGAGAACTATGGGTAGATAGCTTCTGGGTCTAAAACAGGAGAACCTTTTCCCTAGCCCCCAGCTCTCCCAGGAATTCAGCACAGGGGATGCTGTCCCAGGAGTCCTCCCGGGATGCCATGTACCAGTGCCTGGCCCCGTGTTACTGGGGTCACAACCATCCTCACCAATGAGGCAGAACTTTGTGGGTGGGGCAATTTTTAAATGTGTCCATAGATTCTTTTTTTTTTTTTGAGACAGAGTCTCGCTTTGTTGCCCAGGCTAGAGTGAGTGCCGTGGCATCGGCCTAGCTCACAGCAACCTCAAACTCCTGGGCTCAAGCAATCCTTCCGCCTCAGCCTCCTGAGTAGCTGGGACTACAGGCATGCACCACCATGCCCGGCTGATTTTTTCTATATATTTTTAGTTGGTCAGTTAATTTTTCTATTTATAGTAGAGACAGGGTCTTGCTCTTGCTCAGACTGGTTTCGAACTCCTGACCTCGAGCAATCCGCCTGCCTCATCCTCCCAGAGTGCTAGGATTACAGGCGTGAGCCGCCGCGCCCAGCCTGTGTCCATAGATTCTTTCAGAACCCTCTCATTAAGTGGTGAGGGGGAGGTCTATGTCCCTTTGGATCAGGGGAGTGGCTTTTGGTGACTACCTCAACCAATAGGGTACAGTGGAGGTGATACCACATGACTTAAGGGCTATAATCCTAACACTCTGGAAGGCCAAGGTGGGAGGATCACTTGAGCTCAGGAGTTTGAGACCAGCATGAGCAAAAGCCCGTCTCTACTAAAAATAGAAAAACTAGCTGGGCACAGTGGCGCATGCCTGTAGTCCCAGCTACTCAGGAGGCTGAGGCAGGAGAAGCCTTTGAACCCAGGAGTTTGAGGTTGCTGTGAGCTATGATGCCATGGCACTCTAGCCTGGGTGAGACTCTGTCTCAAACAAACAAAAACGCCTTGCAGCTTTGACCTGCTTTGGGTACATTTGCTCTTGGAACCCAGCCACCATGCTGTGCCTGTGCAGAAGCCCAAGAAGAGGTACCCAGGGTCCCAGCCCATAGCTGGCACCAACTTGCCAAGCACATGAGTGAGCCATCTTGAGATGGAGATTCCCCAGCTCCCAGATAAATTTCGGGGTGCTTTATTATCCAGTCACAGGTAACATAATCCTTGCCTATAAAGCATGTACTAATTCCATTAAAAGATGAAAGAAATGGCCGGGTGTGGTGGCTCACGCCTGTAATCCTAGCACTCTGGGAGGCTGAGGCCGGTGGATCGCTCAAGGTCAGGAATTCAAAACCAGCCTGAGCAAGAGCAAGACCCCGTCTCCAGTAAAAATAAAAAGAAATCAATTGGCCAACTAAAAATATATAGAAAAAATTAGCCGGTTTTGACAAACCCAGAGCAAAAATAAATAAATAAAATAGAAAAACTTAGCCGGGCATGGTGGCACATGCCTGTAGTCCCAGCTACACAGGAGGCTGAGGCAAAAGGATTGCTTGAGCCCAGGAGTTGAGGTTGCTATGAGCTAGGCTGATGCCATGGCACTCCAGCCTGGGCAACACAGTGAGACTCTGTCTTAAAAAAAAAAAAAGATGAAGCAGCTAGTACCTTGCTCAGTCACAGAACTACAAATAAAGGAGTTAGGAAGAAATTTAAACACAGGCTATCTGCTTTAGTCAGGCACCCACGTGCTTTTCCTCCATGACACACAGCACCTCATGGCTGTGGAACCAGGCAACCACCAAGGCATGGCCTCACCTGCACCCTAGGTCACCTTGACACACAGACTAGGCTAGGTCCTCCCAAGGGAAGGGTGCCCTCTGTGGGCATGCCCAGACCCAGAGATTAGCCACGATCCCTCCTCAGGCACCCAGGCATGCTCCCTTACTAACTGGGCCTGAGTCCTGACTCTGGCCAGTAAGGCCATCATTTTGACCCCACTTTGACCCCAGAGGCTGAATGATGAATATTGTGCCCACTAGCTGGCATCCCCCTGAGCTCTGAGAGGAACACCACTGCTCTACTGGCCAGTGCTCCCAGTTCTAAAAGCCGGAAGAATGAGGAA